CAATCTGCGGCTTGCCTTTTGATTTTGTTTCTGGCGTCGTTTGTTATGTGAAAGTTGTATCCTTTAATGTAGTAGAAGTGATTTTTTTTTCTACCTTTTGCTCTTTTGTGCTTTGCTCAAGAAATTCTTCCCTACCTTGAAGCCATAACGATATTCTCCTGTACTTTTTTTTCAAAGTTGTAGGTTTGGCTTTTCACATGTAGATATTTAATCCCCACGCAAGTTATTTTTATGTGTGGCATGTGCTGGGGAATCTGATTTTTTTGGTATATGAATAGCATATTGTCCCCACACCATATATTGAGCCTATCTATCCTCCTCCTCCATGGCTTGTGTGACCAGTCTGTCACATACCAAGTTTCATATATGCAGCGGTCTGAATCTTGGCTTTGTTGGGTTGCATTGGTCTGTTTCTCCTTGGGCCAATCCCATAAGACTTCAGTAAGCTGTATAATAAGTTTTACATCTAGTGGGGATAAAATCTATACTTCAGGGGGCGCCTGGGTGGCTCAGTCAAGCATCCAACTTCGGCTTAGGTTGTGATCTCACAGTCCGTGAGTTTGAGCCCCGTGTCCAGTTCTGACTGACAGCTCGGAGCCTGGAGCCTGCTTCGGATTCTGTGTCTCCCTCTCTCTGACCCACCCCCGCTCTGTCTCTCTCTGTCTCTAAAATAAATAAATATTAAACATTTTTTTTTTAGGGGCACCTGGGTGGCTCAGTCGGTGAAGCGTCCGACTTCGGCTCAGGTCATGATCTCACAGTCGGTGGGTTCGAGCCCCGCGTCGGGCTCTGTGCTGACAGCTCAGAGCCTGGAGCCCATTTCAGATTCTGTGTCTCCCTCTCTCTGACCCTCCCCTCTTCATACTCTGTCTCTCTCTGTCTCAAAAATAAATAAACGTTAAAAAAATTAAAAAATAAATAAATAATTTTTTAAAAACATCTATACTTCAGGATGATTGTACTTCGTTTGCAACATTTTCTTAACTCTTCTTGGTGTTTGACTTTTCCATTAGAATTTCAGGATCCTCTCATCAAGCTCCTCCAAAATCCCTTGAGATTTTGATTAGCATATCATAGAATTTATAGATGAATTAGAGATGAGTTGGCAACTTGGTAAAGTTGAATAGTCTCAGTCACGAATCTGGTATACCTTTCCATCTTATGGTTTCTGCGAATAGTCTCTTCATAAGCTCTTCAATCATTAATTTATTTTGTAATTTTATTCGTAAAGAAATTGCACACATTTTGTTGGACTTAGTCTTAGGCGCTCTATGTTTTTTATTGTTACTGTGAATTGAATCTTTTTCTTCTTTTAAAAAATTTTTTTTAATGTTTATTTATTTTTGAGAGAGAGAGTATGAGTGAGGGAGGGGCAGAGAGAGAGGGAAACACAGAATCCGAAGCAGGCTCCAGGCTCCGAGCTGTCAGCACAGAGCCTGACGCGGGGCTTGAACCCACGAACCGCGAGATCATGACCTGAGCCTAAGTTGGACGCTTAACCCACTGAGCCACCCGGGTGTCCCTGGATCTTTTTCTTCTACCTCTTGATTCGTTGTT